CCCCAAAACCCCAAAACCCCTTATTACAATATTAAAATTAGATATTTGCAAATTAAATATATAATTTTATATAAAATTTAAATCAACTATATTTTGATATTGATATCTCCTTTGATACTTCACGAAATGAGATATCATTTACTTCACTTTTTGGAAATTTCAGATGTAGTTAAGTTGTTAGTAGCATTGTTAGCGACGTAAGTGAATTGATCAAAATGATTTATCTTCTTTGTGTTGGGAGACAAGTCTTGATGCTGAGGTGTATCCTTTGCAGGTTCATTTAAGAACATCTTATCAATGTTCCTGGTATCTGAAGGGCCCGAAACAATTGGCTTAAATGGAGGCTCGATCTTCTTAGCCTTTAACTTGTCCCAGTTTATCTTTGCAAACCAAGGATGTCTTTTCAAATCTTTTGCATCAGAATCTGAAGAACCTAATCTTTTAGAGGGATCTCTTTCCAGCAGACCTTGAAGTAGACTCTTAGCCTCAACACTAAAGTAGGGCTTCATCTCTATCCTCTTCTCAACTATATCAGACATCATCTACTTTCTGTTCTTCTAATAGTGTGGTGGTCTGCCTGAAAGCATCTCAAATATTAGTGCACCCTGAAAATTGTTAAATCTATATAATATTACTAAACTCCACCAGTCGACTGATTTGTCATGACCTTGTCCGGTAATGATCTCTGGAGCCAAATACTCAGGAGTCCCGCAAAACGAATAGGTTTTACCCTCCTCGCTCTGATTCTAAAGACCCTGCTTCGACAATCCGAAATCTGTTATCTTCAAATGACCTTCGCAATCCAGTATGATATTTTCAGGTTTAAGGTCTCTATTTTAAATTTAAGAAGTATAACTTACCTATAAACGATATCATTTGAATGTAGACACTCAAGAGCACAGATTATTTCTGCTGCATAGAACTTTGCCCTCTTTTCAGAGAATTTTAAATCCTTTCTGAGATGATAGAACAGCTCACCTCCGTTTAAAAAGTCCATTATAAAGTAGAGTTTGTCTTCAGTTTGAAAGGCAAAGAACAGATCCACTATAAAAGGGTTTCTAATTTTCTCAAGAATTTCCCTCTCAGCTACAATTACGTTTGATTACAAATCATAGGTAGACATTTTAAGATTTATAGAAAAGTGAAGTACTTTGCCAATTACTTACATTTAGTCTTGACTCTTAAATTTCTAGCATGAATCTGACTCTTTTTCAGAACTTTCATGGCATAGATTTCACTACTGTCCTTTTTTTGAACCATAAACACCTTGCCAAAAGTGCCTCTTCCAATGACTTTTATGATTTTAAAGTCATCTTAGCAAATCTTCGTATTGGGACTCAGAATGTTTTCTGTTGTCAATGCTAATGATAGATTCTCATTCTCACATAATATTTCTTAGTTGTCCTCGGATTACCTCTTTTTAAACTTCTGGCTTTGTCCTAAATTATCAAATTTGAAAGAATTACTTGGTTTATCTACCACCTGCTAATAAGCTGATTTATTCTAGCAAACATTTCCCATTTTGATTAATTAAAATTACAATGCATTTATCATACCTATATTATCAAACTACATAATAACTTGCGGGGTTTTGGGGTTTTGGGGTTTTGGGGTTTTGGGG